AACTACCCTTTATTCGTGGTTTCTCAAGCACATTGAGCAAAATGCTGCTATCACATCAGTACATCTTAGTGACTTCGCATATTTCCTCACTGTAGTCATTATCCAACTGTCTATGTGCATGCATCCCTTGGAAATTCAAGTTATCAGAAATCCCACAGACCACAATTGTCTGGGAACAGGACCTTCTGCTGTCTTGTACCTTGAACATTCATTTCCAAGGGCTGATGTAGAGCTTTCTCACAAAGTATTCTTTCTTCAGAAACTGACAGCTTGTCTACCATACATGCCGGTTTAGTGGTTCTCCAGTTTGACTCATTCAGGGGGTTGTGGAGGCAAGTGTCTGTTGAAATATCCTACTTTGGCATTTTCCAAGTGAGATTTTAATGCTGCCTTGAAATGCTTTATTGTGTCTGAAAAACATTGCCCCATGCTACAAACGGGGACTGAAAATTTTGAAAGCAGAATAAAATTGTTTGAAATCGTAGAAACAAAGTTTTCCAGTTCAACATGATTCAAAATATTTGGGGGAGTTGCCATTTGAGGTTTTTATCTTTTCAGGAACCCCAAACCCATTTTTAAGTACCCATTCCCTATTGTGCTTTGATGGCTGAGGGAAATGGGTGTGAAATATAACCCAGAATGCTGTCATTCCTATTCTCTGCTGTGCATTAAAGCACTTTGTTTTGTCTTCACAAGTAATCTTACTTATATTCGTTCACAACACAAAGGCGTGTATGAATTTCCTAACCCAGGATCATGCCTGAGACATTTCTACCAGAGGTTCAGTTTGGCAAATAATATCACAGAGGCAAAAAAGACGTAGAAGGGCACAAATGTGTTACATTTGGAGGAGAATTTGAGGTGGACACTACTTATGACCTTTGTATACTGTGAGTGAAATCTGTGAGGCCTATTTTATAATAGCAAAAACCAAAAGAGGTATAATGACTTCATATGGTGGTTTAGTTCTATTGCATTTATACAATAAATAAATAAATTTATACAATAAATAAATAATTTATACAATAAATGCAAAGGAGTGTTTATAAGAAAGAGTAAGATATTAGGAACTCTTTGCTTGTCAGTGTTAAGGTAAGAATGTACCAGTATATCACTAGACTAGTTCTTTTGCACAAAGGACTTGGATGCCTCCATTGTTCTAGCTGAAGTGCTAGATCCAAGGTTTTGAAGAATTTTTTGGGGGAAATCTAGATTTCACTCCCATATAAACAGGCGATGTGGAATTTACATGGCAAACCTGGGCATCCAATACCCTGGAGGTACTCTAGACCATCACTTCCAGCTGCTGCTTCTGAACAATACGTATCCCCTGTGAGCCCTGCATTATAGAGAATTTTCTCAGATACCTTAAGGCATCTCACATAGCTCTAAATATATGTAAGGAGGGCCTACTAAATTAAGTCTACATTGATCTTCCTGATCCTTGCCAGGAAATAAAAATCTACAAAGATATCCTAAGATGGTAAAGCTTCATCTCAAATCCACTATCTAGTTCTGGGCCCCTCACTAAAAGAGGACACTGAGGTGCTGGAGACTGTCCAGAGAAGGGCAATGAAGCTGGTGAAGTGTCTGGAGCACCAAGACTTAGGAGGAGCAGCTGAGGGAGCTGAGGTTGTTTAACCTGGAGAAAAGGAGGCTCAGGGGAAATCTTATCCCTCTTTACAGGTACCCAAAAGCCAGGTGGGGATAAATATCTTCTCCCAGGTAACCAGCAATAGGACAATAAAATAAGCCTGCCCAGGGAAGTGATGGAGTCACCATCCCTGAAGATATTTGAGAGACATGTAGATGTGGTTCTTGGAGACATGGTTTATGGTGGACTTGGCAGTCCTGGGTTAACAGTGAACTTGACAATCTTAGAGGTCCTTTCCAATCTTAGTGATTCTATGATTCTATGGACAAAAATAGAGGCAGTCAGAATCACTACAATTCACTTGAAAAATCTTAGTGCCTGCACAGATTAAACTGTTAGCACTATATATTTGTTACTGTTGGGGCTAAGAGCTGCTAGGATGATAACAAGGAAGTGTATGAACAAGGATGTCATGGTTACAGAAAGAAAGCTTGATGACGGCAGCAAAACCACAGAGGAGTTTTGTGTGTTGCCCAGTGGTAGGCTGGCACTTAGTTGTTTTCTTCAGCAGCAGCAATGGGTTAGCAGCTCATCAGAGAAAGCACACAAGAGCTAGATGTCATGATCCAAAAAAACAAAAACACAGAGGGGTACTTTTTTAACCTCAGTTTCTTCTGCTTTATCACCTACATAACCGCAGCACAGTTTTGCATCTTCTCTGCAGGTTCCCAGGAGAGCAGCTGCTCTACTGTAGTGTAACCTTGCTTACTTTCCTGGTACCTTTTGCTTCTCTCTGTTCTGCTCTCTTCTTTTACAGATCCATATTCATCCCACATATTATGAGTGTAGCAACTTCTGTCAATTGTTTCTAGCAGACAGTCTAGAACAAGTATTCATCTTGGGTCATTTCTCAGATTGACTTTTGGGTCATGTTTGCCCATTTATGATGTTTTTATCTTTTCTTCTACTTTTGTAAGTTTCAAAGGTGAGATGATTTTATCAGTCAGATTCCTCACAGTTATATAGTTATATTATTATAATTATAATAATATAAATGTATAACACAGTTAATATATTAATATAGAAACATTAGTATATAAAATAGAAAAAGTATTCTATATAATATAAATATATATATTTAATATTATAATATGCAAAATTATTAGAATATAACAGCATAATTATTATGTGATTTAACTTAAAATAGACTTCTAAAATGCTGGAAACTACTATAGGACTTCTTGTTGTCATCTACTTCTCTTTGTGACCCCCGTACACTTCCAAGAAAATCACTGGAATTTCATGACATGTGGCAGACATGCTACATAGCCAATTACCAGGCTAATAAAACTGGGTTCACAGTTTGACTAATTCCTTCAGAGTGGTATCAGGTGTATTTTCAGTTTTGGATGAATTCATGTGCTTACAGTCACAACCCAATATCCATGTGTCCCTGGCTGGGATCCTGATATACAGATAGAGTTTTCTACAGTCACCTAATGTGCACTTAACCTAACAGTTGTCTGCTTTGACATGAAAAAGCAAATTTGAATGCAATCCATTTTGGCCAATTCTGAAAACACGTTCTACTACTGTAAAAGGTTTTCAAGCCGCTTGTTGCCTCTGCACAGCTGCTGTCAGGACCGAGAGCAAATTTGTTCCTTGCCCAGCCAACTACTTAGTGATTCCCTATAGGCAGCACCTTCCCAAGTGCTACAAAAGCTCTGTACTGATTCTACAAAGCCATCCTCTCTGGAGAGTCATAGACTGGAGCATGGCACAGGGAGTGTAGCAGTGCGTGAAGGTGTGGGTTAGTGCAAGGTTACTCCAAACTGAGATGGAGAATTAGGTGGTCCCTCTGCTAACTATGGGTGCAAGGACTACAACACATACAACCAATGCTCCCGTGCCAAATACAGAGTGCTGTGTTATAACTCTGGTAGGTGGATACAGTTTTTTTGTCACTACATGTGCTATTCTGGTGAGGAATTTCAGAGCCAAGTTTCCTACTACAAAAGTCAGAGATACACGAAGTCTGATAAACTGTATCCCTCACACGTCCATTTTTGCATCCCATGCTGAACTTAGTTGTAGTAGAAGGAGCTCATCAGCTGCATGATACTAGTAATACATGCATGATACTAGTAACTCTATGCACTTAATAATTAAATAAATTGTTTAATTTTACACAGATTTCAAGGAAAATGAAGAATACTTGAGAAATTATTTGAAAGGAAGCACTGCTATCAGTTATATGGTGTGAAGACCCATAAATGACTAACAGAGTTGAGGTGTATAATCCCAAATATTTAGGTGATTCAGCAGATGAAGCAGCTTGTTGTGAGCCTTTACCTGCATGTGTATGGACAGTCTGGATGTAAATGTGTAATTCATGTCCTATGCTTAATTGTACAATCCAACAGTGTCCTACTTTGAGATGTCAGTACAGAACAATATTGAAGATAGTCTCTGAAAAACTTTGAGTTGAAAAAAAAGGTACTATATTGAGGTTTTATATTGTTTTATTTCTAATACTCGTGGATTATCTGAATTCATATTATTACCTATTTTTTCTTTAATTTTGTCCATCTCTGCTTCATCTTGCAACAACTCTTACCAAAATTTTCTTTGTATTGCTTCAGATAAGTAGAGTTGTTTTACTCCACATCTTTAAGGAACTCTGCTTTTCATTTTCACATTAAAACAGCATCAGAATTAACAAAAAGCTTTCATTTTCCAAGGTGTGGTGCATACTGTCTCAGTACAGTGGTTCACTCACACTAGAATTTAAGTTGGTGTCTAAGCAGTGTTATTAATACTACATCTTAATAAATTCTAAAAGGAAATTTAGAGAATCTTAGAATAATTTGGGAAATCATTTATGTTCTAGTCCTTTAGAAATCACACCTCTGTTGGCTTAAAATCTGTTATGTAAATTCCATATTTGAAGCTGGAAACTAAACATGAGCTAAATCTGTATCACACTTTTAAAGAACATTTCTTGCTTTTTTGTGCTCTATGCAAACTCTCTGATTTAATTTCTTCTTTGTGATTAAACAATGCTTCTAATAATGAATATTATTCAGATACTAAATCTAAACATATTGAAGAAAAAAGAATTTTCTAAAGAGCTCACTTTTACAATGTCTAGCCAGAGATTTTGGCCCAGATCAGCAGCTAGATCATCATAAAGGTGTTTCCCTGACTTTAAAGAAGCTATGACAGTTTCTACATTCTAAGCACTTCTCATTTTATTATTTTTATTTATTTTATTAAGAGATTTTACCCCATCCATCTTTGATAAACCCTATCCATTCTAGAACTTATCTATAAGTCATATTTCAAGCCTATAGTCATTTAATTTACCCTTTCTCCACCCCATCCCCCTTTTAACTGTTTCCTTTAGCACTCCAAATATTCCTGGATACACTGGCAAGGTTCATTGGTCAGCAACTCACCCAGCAAATTCTAATCTTCCATCAACAGCCCCATCAGTAATTGCAGGAATGCATTAGTAGGTATGAAGTATATTTTGCAGCTTGTTCAGAAAAATTACTGGGAAAATCATAATTGCATTTATTTAGTTAAAGAACAATTAAATGTTACACATTATATTCTATTGACTTAAAAAATACAGAACAGTCAGAGCTGGATCCCACTAAATTATTGTCATGTTTGTCAGAAGTCCTTTTGAGGTCTTAGAACTTTTCTGGAGCATTTTATGTTATGTGTTGGGAAGAATATTATTATTTTTTAAAATAACAAATGTCTTTGTCTTTTTTCAAAGAAGCCCAAGAATGTCAAAGTTATCAATTCCCAAAAGAAAACTGTGTGGAGTTTCTCAATTGGTCTTGACAGACTTAAGAAACAGGTATTTGCTATGAAAAAATGGTTGTTAAAAATGGATGGGTTCACTTAAAAGGCAGTGAGAAGCAAAGTCATACCATGCCACCACACTGATGTAGCCTGGGACCCTGTGATTGTGAAATGATCACAGCTCCCCATCACTATCATGGCTGCCCCATCAAGTGAATTAATAAACTTTATTCTCTCTTGCTCTTCCATACAAGACTGGTTAAAATTGTGGGCCAATATAAGTCTTTATCTGTTGATTTCAAAAGATGTGGACACTTCAAAATCGCTGAAAAATCCTTTTCCTTTTGTTAGCATGAAAAGCTTCAGATGCTGGCAAAGAACTAACTTAGCCTTTCTCCCTAACAACTTAGTAACTATTTGTTTCTCCTCTCTCTTTTATGATTTTGTGCTTTAGATTCTGCTTTCTTGTTATCTGTAGTGATCTAGGATATGGTAACACTTTTCCAAGATTCCATGTTTTCTTGAGAAATATATCGTCTAATTAAATTTTTAATTTGCCTTAGGATTCTGTTCACAGCACATAACACCTTTTTCAGCACTGTCAGTGAAAAGTATCCAGAAAAGGCTCGAGAAGATTTACAGAGCTGCATGGCTTTTAAAGAGTTCGCCTCGTCAAGTTTCACCATTTCCATGAATGACCTAACTTACTTTTCTTCTGCACTGCATCCAGTCACCTCTGCTCTTTTTCTCTTGTGGTTGTACTTGGAAAATAGGCAGTCACCTGTAGTTATGGGCTGCCGTTGACAGGGAATGAAAGATGCAACAAATTCCTGAGTCTCCATAATATGATAAAGCTGAACTCAAAGGAGTCTCATGCAACTCCAAATTGCTTGTAAATGTCACAAACAAATAGAAAAGGCAAATGCATCTTAGCAAAGATCATTGAGAGACTTAATTCAGGTACCAGAATTCAAGAGCAAAAATGAGATGCACCACTGTGATCTGAAGAAAACACATCAGTTACTTCCTTTTAATTTACACAGATGTAAAGTTTTACTGTGGATGTAGTTCACAGTGGAGGATTTTCCTTCATTTTTAATATATAGCAAGAACAGGGCTCTCATTCTGTGCTAATGGATACTTTCCAGAACGAGGACAGAATCTCCTGAACTTTTTGAAGTAGGTTGTGTAAGAATAAACTAGAGAACATAATCACATCCAGAGATGGCAGAGCAGGTTTTGGCACCCTTAGCCTGAGCAAATGTACCTATATGGTACATTTCCCTGAGGAGATATTATCCCTGATAGCAAAATTGTGATAGGCGTATGGTCCTACTTGTGGAGTAGGACCATAGTCCTTAGTGTTGACTGAGATAACATGGAACATTCTAATCCTTCATGCAGCTGTTGTATAAAGCTATGATGGATGCTGAGAATCTCCCCTCAACATTAGTTACCAATGCCCATAAAAGAAATATGCTTAACATTTGATTCCTTCCCTCTAGAAAATAAATTATAAGAATTCCTGCTGATTTCAGGGATCACAGGTCAAGCTAGACTATAGTGGAGAGGTGAAGACCCCCATAATTTGGGATCAAATAATTTGCTTCCATGGACTTTTGATCTAGGATATGATCTCATCCTTACCATTTTAAAAAGGGTGACCCCTTTCTTTGTCTCTTTGCTCATTCTCAAGCAATGGTTGTAATAATTTCTCAGAAAGTATCAAGTGATGGCGTGTGGTGGATGTTTTATAACTGCTGTCTACAATATATGGTCAGTGTCCTGAAGACAACTACAGGTATCAATTGGAATCTCTTGTGTACTGCTAACCTGGTCTAATAAGTATTCCTGTCAAAAGTATCAGCAATATCAGACAGACCAGGCAGCATGCAACCACTTCTGCACTGTGTTTCTATTGCATGGTGTTCCCACAGGATGTGCAGCAAAATCCTGTACACCAGTGTCAAGTGTTCTGAAGTCAACAGGATTGTGTAGGATATGAAACAGTAGAAATGTGATTTTCTCATCTTTGAACATGAATAGTGGTTTTATTTGTCAAGATTTATTGATGTAATTTTAATCTATTTTTATTTCCAGGTAATCCCAAGGTGAAGACAGAAAATTATATTTTAAAGTCCTCTTAGTGCAATTAAATTCTGGCAGATTTATTTAGCTTTTGCGTAGGAAGGAATGCTTTATGTATTTTCTTGTGTCCATTGCTACCTGGAAAATACAAATCCAATTGCATGTCATGTTGCATGGAAACTCATTGGTTTCACCATAATTAATCTAAGATAGTGTTGGATTTTGGTTGATTATTGAGAGAATAACTTTCTTGATTATTGAGAGGATTGAGAAGCAGTTTTAAGGAAGTTGCTTTGAAGATTTCAAAAGTAATCTCTAGGTCAAAACCATGGTTTTTAATGTGGAGAGTAAGTGAGCATAAATGTCTGTGGTCAGTTCTGTGTCAGCCATGAGAACCAGACATCTAAAGCAGATGTGACAGTGCCAACAAAGTATTTTTAGAAGGCTTGAAAGCCAAATATCCAGCATGACCTTCAGGCACCACAGGGCCTTATGTGCTTGAGAGCACTTGGCATGGTCATGAAGGTCTGCACATGTACTGTGCAGGTTAGTTGTGAAACAGCTGCGTGTGTGAGTGTCTGTGTCTCTGTGTGTGTCTTGGCTGTGTGTCTTGGCTGTGTGTCTGTGTTCAAGCAAGACTGGGGAAGCTCTTCAGGAAGTTTTACCACCACGGATCTTTAGGAGGCTGATTCTACACTATGGAATATTGCAAATTATTAATATTCTCTGTGGCCAATGAGCATTAGTGTTTGTGAAGAAAGCAGTGAGAGAGAAAAAGAGAGAATGTTTAGGAATATGAGAGCATGTTTTAAAATTCCTTTTTTCACTGTCTTTATGTGACTGCAGATGCCTTGCAAAACATGGAAGATGACTCAGTAGAAGCACCTAGGACTTTTTTCTCAACCCCAGTTGGTCCTCAGATTTCTTTCAAAGCAGAATAAAAAACTATTACGATTTAGAGAATGGCAATCCTTTTTACCTGGATAACTGAGAGCCTCAGTGTCTGACAGTAAGGAGGAAGGAATTGTATGAAGATGTGCAGACACTTTAAATGCAGAACAAAAATAAAATAATACAGAAGTGGGTCTTTGTGGTAATCCTTATTGCATTATTCTCATATTTATGAAAAAAAAATCTTGAAACTTGTCTGTACTAGATTGCCTTGTTAAGTATGGTTGAAAATGATGCTGTAGCTGTTCCATACATTGACATGAACATTTTGTGTATGCACACATACACAAAAATGTGGACACACATATATGAATATATTATTAACTATGAAATCATTACAGGGCAGCAGCCCTTCTCAAGCTGTTCTGAGTATGCCTTGCAAAGATGGTTAAATGTCACAGAATGAGATTTTAACCTTTAACTGGCTTTGTGTATGTAATGAATAAAAGGAGCCAAGTTATGTTCCCTGGTTTGGAGGCTAATTAAGAATGTATGCCTTACACCCATACTTAAAATCTTTTATGCTTAATCTAAATAGGGAAAATCTAAACATGGAAGATGGAGGACCTCTAGTTAGGCATTTGTCTTGGTACTGTTTATTTTCTGATATCTGTGTAGACAACATGAGGAAGGAGCATGCCAGAGAAAAAGATCAAATGCAAATTTGTCATTCAGGAAGTTCTGCTGTGCTCCATGGGCCAAAATAGTGCAAACAGTTATTCTAATTCAGACAGCCTTGCAGATTCCTTAGAATTTTCTATCTTGAGGTGTGTGGTGTCATCTGAATAATCTATATTTCTTCTCTATTATCTCTAAGGCTTGTTTTTCTCCAGTACAGGCTTCTCCAGGCTTTTAGGTACGTACATGCATCAAAACGTTTGTAAGAAGTAGCTTTTTTGCAGCCACTTAAGGGCTTTCAGTGAAGGATTACAAAGCGCACAAATGGCGAGAGACCCTTTCAAGAGTAGACTGAAGACTTATTGGAAATACTGAAAAGTAGGGAGAATAAACCACAGAGCCAAAAGGCACAAAATCTGCACAAGGTACTAACATCCCTTAACAAAGGGATTAGATCCTCAGCAACAATAATGGGAACTAAGCATCCAAATCCCTGACATTGCTGTGCAAATCTCAGTCACAGAGGATATACAACCCCTTAGGGAATATGTGATGACAGCTAAGACACTAGGATATACAACCCCTTAGGGAATATGTGATGACACTAAGACACATTTCCCCTAATAAGGTTGTAGAAAGCTGCTTGTCCTGAAGTGGGGCAGAAGGATACCAGTTCTTGAAATGTCAGACTTACACAGAAACTTTTACACTTTCAGCTTTCTGTATTTTCCTTGTGCAAAAATCACCAATCCCAGATTTTTAGAAGAGATGCTTTCATCTAATTACTTTCTCTGTATGCATTAAATGTATACCTAGCATGTACATGTGCAAAATTATAGCAAATGTTGAGGTGGAGGAAGGTTGCAGACTGCTTTTGTCTTTTGCTCTTCTCTGTTTGGAGCTACACATGTATACAAGGCAGTGAATATTTTAGATTAAAACATAGCCTCTTTTGCAAATTTGGCTTATTATGTCCTATCAAATTATTATATACCATTTAAAAATATTTGCATATTTGTTACTGGTTACTAAGGATGTATTG